TTTCTCTGGGTGTAGAGTGCTTCATGGTCATGGTCATCTCATTCACACCCAGCCCTGGGAGGTAAGCAGATGGCGAATGTCTTTGTGATTTATAACTCTTATTTAGCATTGATTAAGATCTCCATCTTTGCAAGTCTATTAGGAGAGATCTATTAGTGGACGGTGGCTTTGGCCAAAAATAGATCAGCATTAGGCCCGATCTCAGCTACCTGATCCATACGGTTTTCTCGGGGCAACTCTATTCATCTTGGGCAAGTAGGCCAAATGAAATGAAGCAGGGCCTTTAGGAGCCGTGTGAGGAGATGTCATACGTTAAAGTAAAAGCGCAGCAGGGGACAAGCTCGTAGTCAGCACAGGAAGGTGAAAGCCCAGGCAGTCTTATTTCTGTCCAGGTGCTTCCATTTGAGTCCCCATTGGCTTCACCACGGTAGCCTCAGGCATGAGGGGGTTCAGGGAAATGGTGGTGAGAGGGATTAGGGATGCACACTTGGGAAGAACGGAGAAGAGACTTTTTCAGTGGTGTCAAACTTTAATGGGCAAAACGATGTTTAAATGCAGATTCCTGGTTCCAGGTTCAGAGTTGCTGATTCAATCCACCTGAGATGAGGCCCAGGAGCCTGCATTTATAACAGCCCTTGAGTGACTCCAATGTGGAGAGCAGTCTGTGGAGCAATCCTTATGAAGCACTGGAGGAGGAAGGGGACAAAGAGAAGACGAAAGAGCTGTAGGAAGTGAGGGAATTTTGCCTGAATCATCTTTACCCCCAAGAAAGTGCTGTAGCTGTCCTGTGTCCTTCTACAAACACTGCTTACCCTGGGATGCATCTCCGGGGGCCACTGTGTATGCATCACGGGTGCCTTCCGTGGCCAGAGAGGGAAGTGGAGTCACAAGCACCTCTCCCCAGTGCTCACTCTGGCAGCCCTGCTTAGATCCCGGTCCCTGCTGTGTATGCCTGAGGCTGGATGGTCTCAGATTTGTCACTCTCCTGCTCACCTGTTCCCTCTGATAGCTGAGTCCTTCTGAGTGGGGGATTCTGAAGGAAATGGTGCTACAACTGTGCCCCGAGCCAGGGCTGCTGCCAGCATTTGGGTAAAGAGAAGACTGTCCGAAGGGGCCCTATTCCCACCTCCCTAGACACTTCCTAGAAGAGTCAAGGCACCAACATGGCCTTTATTAAACTGCCGCAGGCACACCCGGCTTAACTGTGGAGTGTGTGGCTGCTAAAGGCAGTTCTGTTGTTTGGGTCACAGTGGGCAGACAGCGATGCCGTGAGGGTTAGCAACCCTCACACAGCTTCAGCACTCAGTGCTCTAGCTGGGTTATCCTGACCTACTGGGGCTTTCTCCACTGCATTCTTCGTGCCTGTACAACCGCGCAGCCAGAGTGAGGCAGACACCACGTGTGTGCACAATTCAATGCAGGAGCACTCACGGTCACAGGCAAGTGCCAGGCACTGAGCTTGGTGCTGGTGATAGAGGAAGATCAAAGTTTTCTTGCAGATCTGCTTGACTGTTGTCCCTTGAGGGCTAACAGTGACATTGCCTTGAGCCGAAAGAGTAGGTCCAGAGAGGTTACCTGGGACGGAGCAGGTCCTCCAGCATCCTTCAGCCACCTGGCGGAGAATAGGATGCTCATGGCTAGATGGGCTCAGGGATGGCGTTGCAGGGTGATATGATGGAGGGAGAAGAGAGTGACAGGGTTTAGGTCTGTGGTTCCCAAAGTGGGGTGTGCACTGCCCCAGGGGCTCTGTAAGGTGATTTCATGGGAATGGGTAGCGAATACCAAAACACTTATTATATCGGCCTTTTAAAGTCTTGTCATTTATGTCTTTCCATTTTTGTGATTTGTTTTAAAATGAAGAAAATGTCAGTTCAATAGTAAGGTGTATGCAATTTATGAATAAATAAATAAATACACATCGGGGCTACATGTTCAGTGATTTTTCCTGCTTCATCGTTGGATGTGCATTACGAACTAGATTCGTAGACTGTTGGTTTAAGACCTGGTCTAAAGCGGGTTGAAGTGCTGGGCTCTAGAGTCCAGGCTGGAAGGGGAAGGTAGTAAAACCACCAGGGAGCGGAGAGAAGGGGGTGGGGGTGGGATTGGAAAGAATAGGGGCCGGCGGGGTTCCGGAGGTTTGAAGTTCGGGTTTACGGGTTTTAGGGGACCCGGGTTTTCGGGCCGGGGGGTTTTGTTTGGGGGGGGGGTTAAGGTTTAGGATATGAGAATATCTCAGGTGGGACAACTCCAGGTGATTGCAAAGTGAGGCATGGAAGGAACCAGGGGAGGGAGGGATGAAGCAGCGTGGAAGCGAAGCCGCTGGATGTGCTGTCCACACGGATGGACATTAACGCGCCCGAGCGGGTGGCAAGATCTAGGACAGAAAAGATGGGCAGCCGCCAGGACTTGAGCCGGAGGTCCGGGGTGATGGTCGGTAACAGGCGGCATAAGGGAGGGAGGGAGGGGTTTACGTGAAGGTAGAAGAGTGACGGTCTCTCGGAGGGGCAAGGAGGATACGGATGGTCCCTTTCCAGGCCCTGAAAAAGGCGAGGAGGGGCCCCCCTCCGCAAAGAAGTGGGTGCTGTGTGCAGTGCCCGGGAGAGCCCCGCCCCGGTGGAAACAGGAAGAGAAAGGAATGTCCCACCCTTCCCTGTACGGTTGAGGGGGGTCCAGAAGGCATCGGAAAGGCTCTTGGAGTGAGGGATGCAGCGGGAGTAGCGAGGAAGGAGAAGGCCAGAGCGGAGCGGGCTGGCGGAGCGAGGGAGGAGGGGGCGCAGGGCTGCGGGCGAGGCCGCCCCTGCGTGTAAACGCGCTGCTTAGCGGCGTTGTGGAGCTGATTTTGTCAGCACGACTAGCTTTTTTTTTTTTAAATATATATTTTTTATTAAAGGAATGTATAAGTGTCTTCTCAATCGAAAACACGAAATAAGTTATCTGTAGGTCGTATACTTTGTCAAATGTAACCCATAACTGAAACTCTTAACCTTTTCTTTAGTCGATTTTTCCAAGTAATTTCTCTGAGATTATTGTTGAGAAACACAACTTTGAGCTTCCTGTAACAGTTCATGGATAGTGGTGACGCATTATGTTAGGAACTATTACACGCCACCTGCATGCACTCTGCCCCTGCTTCCTGGCGGCGTCTGCTCTGTTCCGTGCCGCAGCGGCCGCCGCCCTTCCCACCTGAGCCGTGCCAGAGACGCCTCTCCCCGCCCTGGCCACAGAATCTCCAAGCCTGGAGTCACAACTGACTTCTGGCTTTGCCTAGTGTTCTCAGCTGTCAAGGATCCTCCTGACTTTCATTCTTGGCTAGGTCATTGCAGACATTATGAATGTTTTAAAAAATAATTTCTATTTCAGCTTTTGATCTTTATTAATTAGATTCAGTGAGTCCAAAGCTGGAATACACTGAAACCAAGCCCGGCCACCTCCTAGGAAGATGCCTCCTTCAAAAGCGGCTGGGACACCCTTGAGTGCCTCTGGAATTCCTTCTAGTCATGTACTCGACCTCGCTTCTCCAGCCAGCATTCAGAATGGCTGTTCCATCGGAAATTTTTGCCAAATGTTCAGTTCTTCCTCTGAACTTGCTAGTAGCAACCTTTCTTGAATACATTTTTCCATTTGAGGCTCATCACCTTTCTCTTTCAAGGGCAGGCCATCATCTTTGGTCACAATGACTTCTACTTTTTCAAGGCTGAACACCTTCAAGATTTAGGGTCAATTCCTCCTCTTCAAACACCTGCAAAAGCATTCAAAACTGAGCCAGTTTCAGAGTATAGTTTTTCTTCTTTCCACCAAATTTATCCATAATACATTATGCAGGTGTTTTGATGAGAATCCAGAAACACCTTTAGATACCACATTTCTCTTAAATGTGAGAATTTTAGATCATTGCTATTCCAGGACAAGTCTTGTGTATAGAGCTTTTTATTGCTTTAATTTACATCATTTCATTTACTTCTCAGAACTCTTGTCAGTTAGCAACAGCTTGATCTTGCAGATGAGACAACGGAACCCAGAGGAAACTTGCCCAAAGTTACACATTTGGTAGTTGATGGAGCCAAGACTGGATGCTGGGCCTTGACTCCAAGTCCAGTGTTCTCTCTGCTAGATCATTCTGCCTTTCAGAGCTGAGGACAGATTGGACAGTAAGATCATTCTTGATCAGGAGCTTGACCGGTTAGACTTGGGAGGAACACTGTGGTGTGTCTAATTTAACCCCCACCTTCCTAGACATTCAGGAGATATATCTAATTAGGAAAAAAATGCAAACTATAGGACTGTATACCTATAAATGTTATCCCTGGAAAGAAAAGTAACATTTGGTAAATGTACAAAAAACATGGAAAAATTTGCATGTTATCCTTGTGCAGGGGCCATGCTAATCCTCTCTGTATTGTTCCAATTTTAGTATACCTGCTGTTAAGCCATCTCTAGAATATTTAAACATGAATATACAATAGAAAATACCAAAGTGTGTCACATAGTAAGTATTGTTTTTGTGAAACGTGTGTGTTAGTTACAATGTATATGTACATATGTGTGAGTCATGATGGAAAACTGACTTCATGCTGTGGATTGTACTAACAAATGTTGGGAAGCCACTGGCATCGTGAGAAGAGCATTGGAAGTGGATTCAAATGCTTAATTCCAGTCTCTGATCTGCCAACAACCACCTGCCTGAGCTTGGCCAAGGAACTTAATGCCCTTGGTCCTCCATTTCCTTTTCTTTAAAATGAGCAGGTTAGACTAGATTATTTTTGAGATGCCTTCCTCTAAGAGTCTATCATTCTGATGATTCTTTCATGGCATCGATGAAGCACAAAAGCCTCCCAAATGGGGAAGACGGGTGGAGAGAGGTGGTGGGCACAGAAAGGCAAGCATGAGTCAGGTGCAGCCACGTGGCTCTGCCCCATGGCAGCTGCTGCCAGTGTTCATGTTTGCTGCTTGTCATTGTGTTGGTAGCACCCCTGGATGCTGCTGCCACTAGAGTGTGAGTGATGACCACGGGCGAATCCAAATTGGAGCCTACGGACAGCAATGGAGGTGAGGACTGCCAAACGCATGCACCTGGTACCAGGCTTGGCACTGCTAGGTGCTCAGAAGCAGTTCTTAATGACAAGCATGATAAATACTCCAAGGGGGAAGCAAAGGAAAAGCAACTTAAATAGAACAAGTTGAAATTTAGGAGCCGTATTCCCTCTACAATCTCAGTGGCCCTGGAGTAATAAAGACCTTCCTTGGAAAAAAAAAAATAAAGGAGGGGAGCAATTTCAGACAACAGGCAGTGTGAAATTCTTAGCACTACTCCTTCTCTGGTGTAGACTAGCACTTAGTTTTCTGTAAGGAACGGGGACATGTTATCACTATTCACTCATTTGATGGATAAGATGCAAAGTTAATTTCATGATGGAGAAATACCCAAGAGGTTGCTTGCTTTCCATTAATATAGAAGACATCTTCGAAACTAGCACATAGGAGATTAGATATACACATGTACCCACACACATATATATGGGAGAGCTGATAAATGCGTTAAATGCATAAATTATTTATTGGTCCTGGAACAGCATAAAACATGACAAGAAATGAGATATATCTGTGCGATATGCTTGCACACATAGAAATTGAGGGAGTATTTGTTTCCTCAGGTGGAAACATAATGCCAGAAAACATTCTGCCTTTGAAGAACAAAAGTACAAAGATGTTCCAACAACTGAAGGTTCTAGTTTTGCGCAATTGTTTATTATTCATTGCATTTGGAAACAGGGCATGGAGAAGACAATCATCTTTCCAGCCTACATCTCTTTAGCACACTTCAATTTAATGTCACTGGCTAGGTAAGATTTAACAAGATGTGTCTGTTGGCTGCAACAAACCCGGTTGACAAGAGCCTTGTGTGTCATGGAGCGGATCAAAAGTGGGCTTGGTTGTTGTTGAACAGTGTGTATTTTTAAAGAAATAAATTAATAATTTAAGTCGTTTTAGTGCGTGAGGAGGGCACTGAACTGACAGCTCGGGGCCGAGGCCTGTCTGTGGCCCAGGTGCATCATGGGTACTGGCCTGGAAACGTCCCCACCCAGCCCGGGAGGGCCCTGCTCCAGCCAGACTGAGGAGGAAGCGCAGCCTGGAGGTTGGGTCCCAGCGTGACCTTGGCCGTGCACAAGGCCCTGCTGGACAGAGTGGGGAGGAGACGACTTGCCAGACTTTCGTGCGGGTGACCGGGCAGGTTTAAGAGGTGAATACCTCTCTGGTCGTGACCTACCACGACTGGAACTAAACCTATGAACCTAACGTGGGAAATGGATGTAGCAACTTCTTCAGTTACTTTGTTTACTTTCAAATGACAAAACAAAATCCAAAACCAAAACAAAAAATAACTCAGAACAAAGTCTCAACAAACACGAAAAAAAAAAAAATTCCCCAGTCCGTACTAACCAAGTGGCTGTTATTTTTGGCTGTGGGCTGAGCTGGTGAGATGCTCTTTGGCCGTCTGTCGCTGTGCGCTGCTGTGACTGGAACTTTTTGTGAGCCGGGAAAGGGATGGTTATATTTGTCCTCTGGAAGGGAAGTTGCTGAGATAGAGAGGGAGCTTTGGGTCATAGGGTTTGGGCCAACAGGGGAAGAAGCAACTTACCTCGTGTCCCATGTCCAGCTGGGGAAGTGGATAGGACAGCACTGCCGAACGCTTTGGCAAAAGGAGGTCCCTAGGTGAACACACTGGAGGAGCTTGTTCCAGTCTGATGTCCCTGGCTGACTGCAACACAGGGTCAGCACTGTGTGTTTCTCTTCAGGTAGAACTTGGCCACCCGATCTAGACCTTCTCCTGAAATCATCTCCATGGAAGTTTCTATGACTTGGTTTACTAGTTACTATTCACATGCCCCATGTTTGCTACTAGATTGCGGGCACTTTGGTTTACTTTTATGACCCACACAGCTTCTACACACAAGAACACTTTAAAAATCAAATATGGACTCGGTTGTCCTCTGGCTTTAAGCTCTGGGTTGTGTGTACATATAATAAATTATTAAATCTCCAGTTGTGCTATAAAAAAGAATGACATTTGAGTCACGAGAGAAAAACAAGATTGTTGTTTATGAACATATTACTAAAATATGCATTTTGTAAGGCTCATTGATTTATTTCCAATTCAAGAAGCAACATAGACATACAAAACGGTTCATTAGATATTCATTATACCTCCTTAGCTGCTTTTATTAGAAGTGCCCATGGTGCCAATGGCAAGGTTGATGTTTTCAGGGGTTGAATCGATGCTTGAAACTCATCAATTTCTTATAGGCAGTTTTGGTTTAAGGTATTTTGATGATTTTATAGAAATGTTTTACCCCATTAAAAAGCTATAACTTAAACTGTGGCGCAGGGCAGGCACACATTAGATGATAAATGGCTGTGTGTAAGAGATTTCAAATTTGTCAAATCTGTATTAAGGAACTATATTTGAAATTGGTTAGAAGGTTGGGTGAATTCTCTAGGTAAAAATGACATTTGTTTTATGGATCCTTCTGAAACAATTCCCCAAGAGTTTTCATTTGAATAAATCACATCCAAGTTCAGCACTCCAGAAGCAGCTAGTGTGGTAGAGTTGCCTTTGCTGCTTTTCTGTTTCCTCTTTTTCTGGGAAAAGGGTTGATTTCCTCATCTGTAAAGGGAGTGAGACTAGATAACCTGGAGGTGGAAATATTTACATCTATTCATTCATTCATTAAACACTTATATATTTATTTATTTTGAGACAGAGTCTCACTCGGTTGCCTGGGCTAGGGTGCTGTGGCGTCAGCCCAGCTCACAGCAACCTCAAACTCCTGGGATCAAGTGATCCTCCTACCTTGGCCTCCAAAATAACTGGGACTACAGGTGTGCACCACCAGGTCCGGCTAATTTTTTCTGTTTTTTTAGTTGCCTGGCTAATTTCTTTCTATTTTTAGTAGAGAAAGAGTCTCGCTCTTGCTGAGGCTGGCCTCAAATTCCTGACCTCAAGCGATCCTCCCGCCTTGGCTTCCATTCAACATTTATTTATTTATTTATTTATTGGCAACAGGGTCTCACTTTGTCACCCAGGCTAGGGTGCAGTGGTGTCATTGTAGCTCACTGCAATCTCCAACTCCTGGGCACAAGTGATCCTCCTGCCTCAGCCTCCTGAGTAGCTGGGACTATAGTCATGTGTCACCATGCCTGGCTAATTTTTCTAGATTTTGTAGAGACCGAGTGCCACTCTTGCTCAGGCTGGTCTTGAACTTCTGGTCTCAAGTGATCCTCCCACCTTGACCTCCCAAAGTGCTAGGATTACAGGCGTGAGCCACTGTGCCCGGCCAACACTTATTTATTGAGTAGGAGTGGGTATGTTCTGGCACTAAAGGAACAGCAACGTACAAAACCTAATCCTTGTTCTGGTGGAGATGACATCCCATAAGGAGAAAAACAATAAACAGATGAGATAATTTCGTGAATAATTTACTGCCCTGAAGGCAGTAGAGTATTGTGAGGGTGAGTTGCTGTGGGTGGGTAGTGGCAGCAACTTTCTCTTAGAAGGGGTCATTTCAGCTGAGGAGAAGCCAGGAGTGAACACCCGGAGGAAGAGCATTCAGGAGGGGGAACAGCCAAGGCGAGAGGTGTGCCGTAGCACGATGGGGGTGGAGGAGACAAAGGCCTGAGCCTTTCCAGCATGGGTCTTCTTCCCCCACCTCTGCTGCAGCTGTGAGTGCTGTGCTGCAAGAAAACAACTGAGGCCAAGGGGGCCGTGGGAAGAGTGTAGGAGGGAGGGAGGTGAGAGGGCAGGACCACTGGGGTTGGAGGTGGATGGACACGTTAGGGTAGACTGGACATGCAGTGATGAACATACCCCCATCTCAAGCCTTCACCAAGCACCTGTTTCTTTGCTGCTCATGTTGGGGTGCTAGCTCACCTCCGAGTAGGAACGCAGATTCTCACCATCGTGTGTCTCCATTATCTTAGAGTCCTTTACTCCCAGACCCAAGAATTGGGAGCAGATAATGAGTGGAAGATTGGATTGAGGCCAGGCCTATACTGGCTGCTGGACTAGAATCCTGTTACGTGACTCCAGCTGTTAGGAAGGTTGGGAAATGTAGCCTTGCCGTGTGTTGAGAAGGGAGTTACTGATTGGCGAGCATCAAGCCAGTCTCTGCCACAAGAGAGAAAAGAGGAACTGAGGGGATTCCACTGCTCTCCCCCAAACCTTAAAGACATACGGTGCACACGCACCACCTTGGCCCAGAGTGCTGGGGAGAGAGCTGGATGGGGAGGGAAAGTCCTCACCATGGAGACTTCTCACCTTCCCACTAGACAACACACAGAGAAGAAAGGCGGGGCCAAGGCCACGATTTCAGCCCTGGAAGGGAGTTCATCTAGATGAACCCCTCACTTTAAGCTCAAACCAAATCATTTTCTGCTTGTTCGGAGTCTGGAGGAAAAGCCAGGTTTGGTGCCAGAGACTCCCAACTCTTATTTCTGGACATTCCAGGCTCCTCCCATCTGACTTCAGCCCATGTTCCTCCCAACCCTACTTCTCACACCTCAGAACTTCTGCTGTAGCCAGACCAGACTTCTTGAGGCTGCCCATCCAGTAGAGAATGGACTTCATCCCCATTCTCCTCCTGCAAGGCCAGGACCCCATCTCTTTCCAAGTCTTATGGGTCCTTCTTGTCTTCGTGGAACTTCCCTGCCTTCTGGGCCCTCAGCTGTGGGGGTCATGTGCACCATTCCTGTGCATCACTGGCCACTGAACCCGCTGCCTCAATGGAGAGCACCACAGAGAGGCCATGTGTGCCCCCCATTCAGCCCTCAAATGCGCTCAGGCAGGCCCTGTTTCCCGTCCTTTAGAGACATCTTGTGCAGATCCCATAGCTTTCCAGATTACTTCCAACTATTACAATAGTCCCCGTTTTGATAATGAGATTTTTTTTTTCAAGTGTAAAGGTCTGGTCTAGTTTAATGTAAAACTTTAATCTCACCTCCCAATCGAAGTTACCAGCTTAGGCGGAAGCTCGGGGTTGTGCAGGTGGGAA